TCAGAGACACATAGGCACAACAAATAAACGTTCTGTGACATTAAAAGATTAGTTCGTGGATACGCAAGTTTGCTTTTTGCTTCAATTGAAATAAAAAATTAGCCTGATTAATGTATTATTCACTGACTTTGTTATCAAATACTGTTTTAAGACCTAACATGAATTGGTGTCTTGTACTTTTTTTATTCAGTACTATGACAAACAGCATGTTTTGATTAAAAAAACAAGTCATGCTCAAAAGCAATTACAACCTTTTTAGGCAAAAAGAAACACCATTTGATAAAGGAACACAGACCAGATACATATGATCAAAGCATAAAGACTGAGAGAAATACACAGAGGGAAATTTTTACATCGACAGAATAAGAAATAAATGTGTTTGGGCAAAGGCAAAGGCAAAGGCTGATTCCAATAAACAAGTCAAAAATAGGACTTTTTTCCTCCTCTGAAAATTAAGTAAAAGATCAAAGACACATACACACACACACACACACACACACACACACACACACACACGTACACACACAGAGAATCCCTGTGTTCTTTGTTTTAAGAACAATCTGCAAACTCTCTTGATGCTTCCTGCTCTCAATCTTCCTGCATCTCTCTTCCTGCCCTCCATGAAGAACAAGTAGGGGAAATGGGAGCAGCATAGAACCTTATTTAGCATGATTAGCACTGTCTTTAATACCAGTTTGAGTAGACCTGGTACACTGTGATTTAGAAATATTAGTAGCCAATACACTTTTTCTATATGGAATCATACCACATGAATTAAATATTCCCTTAAAGCTCAGAAAAACCTGTAACAAACCATCATTGCTAGACATATGAGATTTGGTGGGAATGTTGGCATTAGCTTTGGTTAGTGCATGAGTCATATTTTCAGTTTTTAAGGACATGTACAGCACTAAAATATATTTGGCAAAAACAAAAGGGCTGCGATCTTGTGTATATGTATGTGGGGGCTCTGTTTTTGCAAGAGAAGAGTAGGAGGGAGTGTTGGAGAGGGGCAGAGTGGCAGAGGGGTTGATTCATTTTTCAAATTCACATTTATGAACACAGAGAAGAGCTGTCAGCAGCTCACATGCCAATGTCCAAACAGCAGCCAGACTCGCCTCTTCCCGTCTGGGTAGGCCAGACACAAAACTACATCTCACGATTTAGGAAAATCAAGAGTCAGATATAAGAGGACTGGAGAGAGAAAAATCAGTCCTGGAAATGTCCAGCTACATATGATAGCTAGTGATTAGAATGTGGGGTTTTAATGAATTGAGGGACTGAGGGATATTTAGCCAACCAAAACCAAGAAAACTAACAGTCAATCCTTAAAGCAAGCTTCCTAGTAGGTAATAAGTGTAAGAGAAATTAATTTCACCTAAAGAGACAACAAGGAGTCAGACACCAGGAAAGTGGTGCTGCCTAGATGAGTTCCAGGGTCCTAAGGATCAAGTGAGTGCACATCAACAGGGTGACACGTACGAACTATAGACAAGCAGGATTTCGAGCTGTATTTCCAGGCTCCTATCATACAAGAGAGACAATAGTCCCTCTCTAGGTCAATAATAAGACTGCATCTAAAGAGCTACATATTATTCTCAACAGAGAGTTGAAAAGGCTGAACCAACAGTTATACAAACAGCTAACAAAACTGACTAAAAATATTTTTTTCTGGAGTTAGAATACTAGGAATGTTAATAGTGACTCTTCCACAGGTTTAACTCAAGTAAGGATTTATATGAGGTAAGTTAAAAAATTTAAGGATAATCTATCTTTGTGCTGACAAAATTATGGTCTGGCCAATCTAGTAAGTTTATATTTAACAATAATTAAAATGAATGACTGGCTCAGTGAAAACACACACACACACACACACACACACACACACACACACACACACAAATCCTGAACAGCCTGTACTTACTGGAGAGAGAATTTGGGAGCAATAAAAAGCCGTAACTAAGGCACTTAATGATGATTACACACTCCAAATAGCTGCCCAATGCTTTACGATTTACAGTGCTAGTTCCCATAAATTACTTCATTTAATCACATAAACCATGTGGAAAGGTCAAGATAGGTATTATTATCCCCATTTTACAGATGAGAAGGCTGAGTTTCCAAGTCACCTTACCTGCATCTGGTTTCATCAGTCATCTAAATCCTTCTACAGACAACTTTCTTACATTATGATATCAAGAGATCATAGCTATACAACCCAGTGAATAAGCCTTAATACCTCTGTATTCGTCTATGCTTTGGTTTCCCCAGATATGACATGGCTGTCATTTTAAGTGAGAGATTAAACTGAAAGAATATATGAGTTGGGATTTATAGAAAGTTCTGGTTTTAAAGAGGCTCACCATGCAGCAGTTTTACACTTTAACTGCAAAAGCTAAGAAAAAAGTAACAATAATGAAAACACTCTTACATTTTTGGTTTAAACAAAGCAGACTGATATGTATATGACATATCAAAGTCCCAACAATGCTCTGCCTTTCAAAATTTGCTTTTGAAGCTTACTACATTAGGAACCACATAACATCGGAAAGTAAACTGATCTTAATGGGTATGATATGAAAGACATATTTAAAAAAGTACTTTTAAATTCTCAACATGAATTTGTCTTGGGCTTTTAAAGTGTGCTTATTTAATTTTTCAAAAATAATAAAAGTTCACTATTTAAAGTAAAATATAAGAAAAAACAGCAATATAGAATACACCTGCAATCTCCAATACATCTCTAATCTATGTCTGCAACAAATCTGAGTGTCATAGAATTTTATGACAATAAAATATCAAATGATTTATGATAGCCAGAAAAAGGAAGTATTTACAAAACAGACTTATAATTTGTGGAGAAAGGCAAATCTACAATCTGACTTTAAACTCTGAGAATAAAAGACATTCGCTTCTGGGCATATATTCCTAAAGGGCAAAATCTTGAAATACAATCCTGTGATTACTACAGTTTTTAGGACTTCACATTTTATTAATTAAATATAACAAATATCAAACGTTATCCTCTGTCACCAAAGAAAAGCCAGGCATATTTAAAGTACTTAGAACTAGGTATCTAAGAACACAATTGCTTATTGTATATATCTAAACTCCAGGTATCAGAAAAGCTCATCTGCACATTCAGCTGGAGGAAATGTAATATTTACTTGTTAATTAAAGGGCAAATATCATTTAAAAAGAGAAAAAGAAAAGTTTCTTTACTGCTGAAAATATATCCATCAGCTGCTGAGACATAAATAGCTGCAACTCTTGAATACATGTAAGTTTAATCATGCAACTGGTAGAGTTCAAACTTTCAATTAACAAACTACAAGCCTTTTCAAGCGTCGGCTCTCCGTGCAGTGACAAACACTGTGCAGAAATCAATACTCACTCCAACTTGCCTGCATATAATGAGTTACATCAAGCACGGTTTCAACACTAACGGGCATTATATGTCAGAGATGCCTGCAGTAATGCCTACTCCAGAAAGAATTCAATTAAACCATCGGATCATTCCTTGCATAGAGTTTTTACCCTCTGCATATATCACCTATATACAGGGCTTTTCCTCTGCACGCTGCCATTTGATAATGTCTGCCTGAATGTACGACACATCATGCCACCTGAATCTGTTGTTTAACTCCCTTTACTGAGTTCTAAAGGGGGCGGAAGTAGGAAGGCAACCGAAGGGAAATAAATGATTACTCCCGAAAACAATTTGAGTTTATTTCCAGGAAACAGGGCAGCCACAACAACGTGAGAAACTGTCAGGTACAAAGTAAGTTCTTTGCATCCTGCGGCTTCAGCCAGGAGCGCGGCTGTCGCTTTTCCCGTCTTCTCCATCACCCTGTGGCCACCTCTGCGTCTCCATCTGCACCGCGAACCCCAGCAGCAGATGCGCTCGCCAGCCGAGCTGAGCTGGATAGGTTGGCCAGAAAAGTTGTCAGGACTGGCGGGAGGTAGGCGAGTGCGCGGGAGCCCGCTCCCCAGCGTCCACCTGGTGAAACTTCAGAGCCCCCAGAGGAGAGAACGAAAGAAGCAACCAACCTACAAGAAGGATAACAAAACTGGAGGGGAACAGAGGACGGGACCGGGAGAGCTGGGGTTCACGGACTTCTCTGAGCGGCTTGACCGAGAACCCCCAGAGCTTCTGCGAGACCGCTTCACGTCCCTTCTTTGGGGTTCCCCGGCGGAAGGCAGTCATTTACAGCCCGCTTCCAGCCCCAGGCCGGATCTAGGGAGTGCGGGGCCAGCCTGGCGGTGGCTTTGCCGGAGGAGCTGGCTCCCACGCGCGGATCACGTTTCCTCCCCCGGGCGCCCAGACCTCGATGCCCAGGACGGCTCGGCGTGGGTCCTTAGAGCCGCGTTTCAACACATCTCACAGGGCTCCGCCAACACAAACACGGAACAAGCTCCAAGCAGTGCCTGAGCGCACAGGGCAAGCCCGGGAGCAACCGAGCTCTGGGGGAGGAGAAAGGGGACTCGGGGAGGGACCGGGAAGTAGTTAGACAATAGTCAAGGGAGGTTATTCCCGGGACAAAAAGCACCTGGCAAAGCGCGCCGAGGTCAGTCCCTTCGGATCTCCACATTTCTGACAATGGCTTCCCAGGGAATTTGTTTAAACACTCAAGTGGCAGACAGCAACAAGCCGCACCACAAGCAACAGAGCAGCCGTCACCGGAGTCGAAACTACTTTTTCTCTCTTCCCCACTAGCCCGGCGCAGGCCAGGCGAGACGCCGAGGCCAGCAGGTCCCCACACTCACCGGCTCGGCCGGGCCAGCCTGCGCCCCGAGCCAGCTTGGGAGAGGAACAATGGGTGCCCCGCGTCCCACCTGGCAGGAACTCTGGGGACAGCCTTCCCTCTACCACGTGTCCTCCACCCCCGGACCGCGAGAGCTCCCCCACATACCCGTCCCCAGCCCGGGCGGGGAGCCGGCTCACCCCTCGTGAGCCCAGGACTCCGGGCGTCCGTCGGGGGCGCCCCCCGGACACTCACCTGCGGAGAACTGGCCTTGGGCCGACCCCAGGAGAGGCCAAGGGGAGAAGAGCAAGAGCGCCACAAAAGCAGGCAGCACCGCCGCCGCCGTATCCATGCCGAGTTTGGGAGAAGTTTCAAGCAGCTTTGCAAAGAGCTGCCGGGGGGATCGCCGCGAAATCCACGACGGAGGCGCGGGCCGAGCCTCGCTGGGTGAGGACGGGGAGAGGACAGCCGCCCGCCCGCAGTTTTTCCTCCTTCGCGGTCGCCAAACTACCTCGGGGGCGAAAGCGTCGCCAGCGTCGCCGGCCGGCCGCGGCGGCAGCTCTCCATGCTCGGCGGAGGCTGCTCCTGTTAGTCAAGAGTTACTTTGCTCGGGGAGGGACGGGGGCGGAGCCGGGGGTGACGTAGCCCCGCGGGCTCCGGGCGCTTCTGAGGAATGCGGGCTCGGGCGCGGCGCTGCCGCCGCCTCCTGCCGGAGAGACGCGCGCCAGCCCCGGCCGCGCGCCCCGCGCCCCTCGCGCCGTCTTTGTTCCCGGCTCGGGCCCCGCCGCTGGCCGCTTCTCTGGGGGGAGGGAGCGGGAAAGGGGACCCGGCGCCGCTCGCTGCCCTGTTCCGGAAATCAGAGTTTGAGAGGAGAGAGTTCGGTAAGCCGTGCGGCCGGACGACCGAGGACCCCCGCCATCTGAGGAGAGGCGTCCGGGGGTTCCGTCCCCAAGGTGGAGGTCCCCCCGAGCGGTTGCGGGTAGAAAGGAAGAAGCGTGTGGAAGCGCCCTGAGGAAACACCCGCCCGCCTCGAAAACCCCGTTCCTTATTCTTTTAATATGGAATAAGACACCCCACCCCCATCGAAAACTTGTCCCTTATTCACAGAATAAATAAAACTTGAACCAAAATAAGCGTTCGGTAACTTTCCAGCGTGAACAGCTGGCGTGTCTCCTTTCTGGTTTGTCATTTGCCAAGTATTTGGATTTACTCTGCTTCACCGACTTTGCTTGTTTTGAAACCTTCCGGCCTCTTTCCACTTCTCACTAAGAACTGCATCAAGGCTTAGTATCCTTCCTTGCACCTAGGTCTGGTGGAGTAGGAAAGGTTTTCTGTGTGTGGTGTGTGTGTGTTAATATCTTGTAGCTAGTTAAGCCATATTTAACAAAAGGACTTTACACTGACCATGAAGACAGAAAAGAATGATTCATCTAGAGGAAAATAATGCTGTATTGTGACAGTAAAATCTTTCACAGTTAACTACTTCAGCAGCTTGAAGTGGTTTCGCCATATGCCATCCTGCCTTACTTCTGTGGTAAGACTGTATGGTGCATACTTTATTCATTTTTGTAAAATATCACCCCAAAAAAAGGTATGGTCATAGCTGAATAACATAATAACTTTGATCCAGAATTTTTGTGTGTTATGTACAATTGCTAAAACGATAGCGTGTTGATTGACATCTCATCAGTTTCTCAGGCATCTTAACCTTTGTAAATCAAGACAATGTGAAGTTCACTTTAATGTAACAGTCACATAATTTACCAAGCGACATGTTCCTTTAATCAAATGTATGCTATTAATGACCAGGCATATGACAGAGCCTGTGGAAATAAAAATTAATAAATATACACACAAATATATACATATATATTATACACACATACATATCAGGAAGAAAAGACAAAAAATTCTATGAAAACAGTAGCCTGCTCATTAGCACACTGACTAGCCCAGCACTTGTCAATTCAGTTCAGCATAGTTAAGTTCATCATTCCTTAGGGTGCAATGTAGTTTTTTTTTTTTTTTAACTTGTTAACCTATACCTTTCAGCACACCATCACTATTCCATTTCTTTAATTAAAGAACATTCCTAGATCCCAGGTAGCAAAAAAACTGAAGGATGTATTTTTCTTTCTGAGGACAGCAGAACATCCTAAAATTTAGCAGCAATTTGTCCCAGTAAAAACAAGTGAAACCGTACCATCTATATACTAATTCATCTGTTCTACTCTTGTAAGAAATGTAAAAGCAGTTCAAGACGTGGTAATTTGTTTGTTTAAACACACAACAAAAAAACTTCTTTAAAGATTTTCACACAGTGCCAGGACAAAGTGCATACAATTCTTGCCTCACCCATTTTGGGGCACAGCTGATAGAAGATTCATTTCATGAAACTTTATTACTTTCTCTAACATGGAAGTAGGAATAGTAGCAGGAAATGTTTCGAAAGTTCTTCATATGTTCTAGGCACTGTATTAGCATACACAATGTCACATTGAGACATCAGGATATTCAGTGTTTCACTGCGTTCAGACAACAATTCCAAGAAGACATTGGTGCAGTTATTATTCCCATTTGACAAATGAGGAAACAAGGTTATAAAGTAAGTAACTTATCCAAAGACATACCTAAGTGAGAAGTGAGGGAGGCAAAGCAAAGAGAAGAAAGGAAACTCTCAAATCAGCAAACCAACAAAGACATTTTCTCCTTAAAAATCAAAAGAATGCAATAAAATTTTCGGGTGAGTACATCATTCCTTTAGTTCATAACTAATGCTGACCAGTATGGATTGAAATCACTGGAGTAGAAACCTTGAGGATCTTCTACATAGCTAAGTGCTTGGCAAATATTAGGAATTAGTAGATTTTTGTTTGAAACAGTAAATGAATACATCAATCAATATCAATTTTGTTAAATCATCAAGTATAAATTTTGTTAAACTTTTAGAAAAAAAATTGTCAGCCTTCATTAAAAATTACCAAAATCTTCATATTCTTTAATATAGAAGCTATTTCAAGTAAATAATCCAAAATGTGAGAAAATGTTATTTACAGTGTTTATGATTTACAAAAGAGAAAAGTGGAGAAATATAAATATTCTGTAATACACAGATTCATAAGCATTATATGGTAAAATATCTCATAGCCATTAGAAATGAAAGTTATGAAAAAAGTAAATTGCAAGATGGAAAAATGCTTATGATCAAATGTTGGTAAAATAATCTTTCAGTTTAGAAAGATAAAAAATTTCTGGAGAGTGATAGTGGTAATGGTTGCCTAACAATGTGAATGGACTCAATGCCACCAAACTGTATACTCAAAAATTGTTAAAATGGCAAAGTTTATGCTATGTATATTTTACTACAATTTAAAAAAAAAAAAAAAAACGGAAGAAAAAAAAAAAAAAAAAAAAAAAAACGGAAGACAAAAGTCCGTGTACTATGATCAAGAAAAAAAGAAGACTGAAAAAAATTACAAACCATAATATTAATATAATTAGCAATAGATGTCGGATACCAAAATTTTATGGCAGCTCTTCTCTACTTTCCTATTGTTTTGGCATATGGTTACAGTATTTCTTTTTAAAAAGGACAGTTTTGTGTTTTGATTGCAGATTTACCACACCCTAACTCCAGTCATAAGCTTAGATCTGCAATTGGCAAATGTTTTCTGTAGAATCCCAGTTTTTTCAGGTTTAAATAAGTATAATTCAGAAATACAGTCTCAAGATTAAATTAGCTTGGAGAACTCTGGACTGAGCAAAGTTTAACAGAATTCTTCAATATAGCAGGCTTCTTTATTATAGAATCTTTCCCATGGTTACCAATATGGTTTTTTGCACTATAAGTCTATAGGAGAAGGAAAAAGAAAGCATTGTTTCTCAAAGTTTTGGATCACAGAACCCTTTAATAGAGGAGTAGGTATCAGGACCAGGGTTCCAGGTAACAGAATTTGGGAGCATTGCCTTAAGCAACATTTAATACCACTGTATCTCAATTTCCTTCATGTGAAAATGAAGTAATCATATTTTTAGAGGATTAAATGAAACATATATGTTTTTTCATAGAGCTGCAGATTTGCTTATAAGTATAGACATGAGACTGGGCATGGTAGCGCACGCCTGCAATCCTAGCATTTTGGGAGGCCAAGGCTGGAGGATCATGAGGTCAAGAGATCAAGAGCATCCCAGCCGATATGGTGAAACCCCATCTCTACCAAAAATCCAAAAATTAGCTGGGCGTGGTGGCGCATACCTGTAGTCCCAGCTACTCAGGAACTTGAGGCAGAATTGCTTGAATCCTGGAGGCGGAGGCTGCAGTGAGCTGAGATTGTGCCACTGCACTCCAGCCTAGCGACAGAGTGACACTCCATCT